AGAGGCGATGCCTGGTGAGGCGAGAGCAAAAAAGTCAGGAGAGAAGAAATAATTTGAAAAATGAAAAGAATGAGATAAAGAGATAGAGAAGGGGTGGGTAAATGAAAAGATTGATTGCGTGCGTGCGAGAATTCTGCAAAAGTAGGAAAAAAGTTGTCTTGACCAGCGGCCGTTTAAGTCGGTTTGAATTAAAAAAACAAAAAAAAAGTTCAATTAAAAAAACAAAAGGCATACAAATGCAATGCAGTGCAGGGGCAAAAATGTAAAAAAAGGGGGACACTTGTCAACTTTAGAGGAGCACTAAAATGGACACGTGTCGCCCATAGAAGGGCACAAACTTCTTTGTATAAGATATAAGAGAGATATATATATACATACACACACATAATTTAATTTCTATTATTTTTAATACTAAAAATAATTTAATAATATACATATATATTGTACCAAAAAATAATATACATATATATATTATTTAAATTATAATACTTTTAATTATAAAACTAATACATAATTACAAACACACGATATATTTTAATTATTAAATAATACATTATATGTATTATTAAAAATTTTATTAGTTAAATAAATATTTTCTAATTAAATAAATATATCAAATATAAATTAATAAATATATTCAATAATATAATGTTATTAAAGGTTGTTGATATTGAATTAGTGTATAAAAAATAAATAATTACTTAAATTGTTTTTAAATAAATATTTATTTATTTAATTCAATTTAATTTTTATATTGTATAAATATTTGCTAAATAAATTAATATATAAAATAATTTAATAAATAAGAATATTAGATAATAAAACATAATAAATAAGTTTAATATCATAATAAAAAATTAAATATTTATTTAAATATAAATATATTAAATATAATTTAAATTAAATAAGATAAATAAAAGAATTTAATAAAATTTTTATTAAAAAAATACTATATTTAGTATTTATTTTAGTTTCGCTAAATAAATAACTAAACAATATCATTTTATTTTATTTCTAATTATATGTATACTTAATTATAGTTTATTGTATTATATAGTTTAATATATATATATATATATATATATATATATTAATTACGAACTAAAACAAAAAAATAAACAAACAACAAAATCATTATATTATTTTTTGCAATTATATATTTATTTAATTATAGTTTATTGTATTATGTATTATTTAGTATATTTAGTATTTATTTTATTTTTAATTATTTAAAAAAGGCAATATTATATTATTTAATATATTTATTTATTCATATAATAAATGAGAAAATAATATAAAATAATTTAATATATTTGTTTATTAATATACATATTTAATAAAATATATAATACATTTATTTATTTAATAAATATTTAATTAATATATATAAATTATATAATAAATTATGTATAATTTTATAATTACGAGTAGTATAAATTGAATAATATATATAAATATTTATAAAAAATAATACTTTATTATTGATATAATATTGTATTTATATAATAAATAAAAATAAATTATAGTATTAAATATATTTATATATTAATTTATATATATAAATTATTTATTATATTTATTTATTTAGAAAATATATTTAATTAATAATAAATTAATGATATATAATATGTTTTTGATAATTATTAATAATTTCTAGATTTGTTTTAAAAATAATGAATATATTCTGTATTTCAATAATTATTTAATATATATTTTGTTTTTTGATAAAACATTTTTTGCTAGATACATAGTTAAATAATATATATATACACATTTGGATAAAACATTTTTGATAGATATATAAGTGAAGCCAAATATTTAACATAAGTTATGTTAGGTCAAGTGGCTCATGAGCCACTTGCATGGCCTATCCACGCGGGTTTCAACCCTCTCATTCGCAATTTTTTTGTAATTATGCCACATATTCCACGTGGCTTACAACTCAGCTAAAAAAAAATCAGAATTTCATGTAGACTACCAGGTAAAAGTGACCTGCATTTGTCGGTGGCAAGACCATTTCTCACGATTTTTGGCACTTACGAGATGTTTTCTAAAAGTGGGTCACTTACAGGACTAAACCTCAAATATGTACCAATTAATAGAATTAAATCTCTAATTTTTCCTTTATCTATGATTTCAGTATGTTGATCAAATAGTCTATACTCTGGAAATAAAATAAATGAAAATTACATTTTTCTGTGTATAGAAATATTAAATTTATAAGTTGAAAATAAACCACATATTTATTTTTTTGTATAATTAATTAATTTTTTCTGGTATAATAAACTGAAAATAAATTATATGTGAATTTAAATTTATAGTTTGTTTTCTTGTCAGTTCTATATAAACACGAACGAACTTTACGAGTTTTGTCTAGATCATGGGTACGCCAACCAGTTGATCGCAAAGTGGAAAAAGCCCAGCTATGAGAGGCTCTGCTGCCTGAGGTGTATGCAGCCCGGGGACCATAACTTTCAGACCACTTGCGCCTATCGAGTCTCGAAGCATCTGCGTGAGGAGCAGGTCGTGGAGTGCATGCATTGCGGCTGTGGGGGTGGAGCGAGTGGAGATTGAGGATCGTGTTCCGAACTATTTGCTAAGAAAGTGCTATTTGGCTCTTGTGTATATCCAGTTTAATATGAAGCGTTCGGATCTGATACAGTTGAAGTTTTTGTACTAAAGTGGTCTCCAAGTAGATATTCTCTTGGTTATTCTATTTAGGCAAAATAGATCGTTACATCACGGCCTTTTACCATATTGCTAAAACATCACGACTTTTGGACCTTGGCGGAGAATATCACAACCTTTGATTTCTTTGCAAAATGATATACGAAAGTCAAAAAGCGGCCATCTTTGATACACTATGGGGGAAGATTTGTAACCATTGAGAACAATAAGGAGTGTTTTGGAGGTGATGATACTTTCAGATTTTTCGTGAAATTATTTTAATCAATGTAACGAAGGCCGATTTCCGACTTCGTGTATCGTTTTGCAAAGAAATCAAAGGTTGTGATATTCTCCGCCAAGGTCCAAAACTCGTAATGTTTTAGCAATTTGGTAAAATGTTGTGATATAACGAGCTATTTTTCCTTCTATTTATGAAATGGTGTACTTAATCGAGCATGAAATAAAGTTATTTGATACTCCCTTCGAAATTGACCTACAAAAATGTAGTGCATATCTGTTGTTTGTTTATGTGAGGTAGATTTGTTTAAGGCACAGAGTTTCTATTAATATGTAACTTTGTATATTGGTATGTAATAATATATTTGTATGTTGAATATGTTTATTGATGGTTTGTTTGTTTTTTTTTTTTTTGTAGTTTATATTAAGTCTTATTTTTCATATGATTTGTTTCTCAGCTAGTTTTTCGTGATATAGTTATAAAAATAGATAATAAACTTAAGATAAACTAAAGATAAACTTAAGATATAGTAAAAAAGTAGATAATAAACTTAAGATAAACATAAGATATAGTTAAGATAAACTTAATATAAACTAAATATAAACTAAAAAAGTTTATAAGAACAAAAAAGATGATAGTTTTAAAATAGAAAATAGATCTGTTCATAAAAGTAGATAATATACTTAAGATAAACTAAAAGTTTCCAATTAATTTTTAATAAATTATAGAGATAATGTAATAAACTAGATAAACTAACAATAAATTAAAAAATGACAAATAAAATAAACTAAAAGAGTTTATAAAAAAATAGAATTATAATAAAAAATATATATTCTTGTAATTATTTATAAACATATAATAAACTAAATATAAATTCACATTAAAATTTTAATTGGTTTACAACCTTAATTTTCCTCAAACTCCTCCCAAGAACACACTCGTTCTACAACCCCTTGAATCGTGGCAATCAACCCAATTTCCACAAATTTACTATCCCAAATCGTGTATCCAAAACTAACCAACATAAGAACAGTGAGAAGAATAAAAAAAGGTTCATCTTATCAATTCACAATTAGTTATAGAAACATAAGATTTTGTCCACATCCAAAAGCAAAGCTTTAATTGTAATAATATTTTATATATTATTCTATTATTGTGGATCATATAATTAGTTGGACCTAAATGAATTAATAGTCAAACTTTATTAAAGATGAATATGTATTTAATAGATTATTTAATGTTCTAATATTAAAGAGTCCAATGTGTGATGTTTGACTTGGACAGTAAGTTAGGTTAGAACATGGAGAATGTTAGTAGGAATAGGATTGTAGGTCTCCTCTATATTACTACATGTCACTCTCTCTCATCTCATACGAAATAAAGTTCTCAACATCAAGGGCTTTATGAAAGGAAGAGAGACGCGGGAGAGAGAAACAATTCATAGACATGGACGAATCCATTGTTGGAGATTACGAGACGAATCCATCATTGAAGATTACGAGAAAGATGATGGTAGATCAACATCATAGATGAACATGGAAAGACTATAGTTGGATTCTTGTAAGTTTCTATGTGCAATTTAATTTATGCAAAGATCAATGTTCTATGAATTGATAGAATTACATGCTTAGGGTTTATTCAATTCCGCCTAATTGTTATGGATATACCCGTTAAATTTCTTACATGGGGTATCAGAGCATGTGTTTATGCATGATTATATTGTCAAATAAAAGTTTTACATGAACCAGTAATTGCGATAGTTGTTCCGTCCGGCATATATTGCTTTAAATCGGAAATAGACTAATAAAGGTTCAATTTGTAGAATTAATTTCTACTCTATTGTGATTTTGATTGTGGCTTGACTAAAATAATTGTTGCTAGCTGCATAATGGATTGGTAAATAGGCTTGATTGTGATTTATTTGCCTTCTGTGTGCTGCCACGAATTGATCTTGTTCAATATTGTAAAGAATTAATCTCTGCTATAACATACTTTTATTAATCCCTTGAATAATTCAATGTCGTACGTGATTTATTTGCTGGACTTAAAGCCATTCTCTGCAATTGGATTCTTGGTTTTGGATTATTTACTGAAGGTTTTATGAATTGCGTGTGACCTTCAAATGGTTTTGGATTATCTACTCAAGGTTTGATAAATTGCATGTGAAGAATCCAATTGTCCAGCATATATTACTGAAAGTTTATTGATTGGTTTATCAATATTTACTGGCCATATGTTGGGAATTATTGTTGTTTTAACTAGATTCTTCAACTAATAAAAGTTAATTGATTTGTGAATCAAGATTTGTTATAGTTTTGATAATCTTATAATATACAAATCAAATAAAATAAAATACTTTCTAATTATATTATCTATGTAAAGATACTAGTTAGTCACCATAGTGGCCTAGTTCAATTAATGGAATAGATAATTAAATTAGATGAAAGTGTCATTATTCAAATATAAAATGATGTCTTATTAGTGTCTCTCAAATTATGTATTTGAATAATTGATGTCATGAGCTATAAACCAGGAGGACACCCAAAGGTGGGCCATGTGTTTATAGTTTGTTACAACTAAAAGAGAAATTATAATTAGAGTTAGGTTAATTAGTGTGTTTGTCCAAAGATAACCACTAATTAATCACAATACCCTATAATTTCTGTTAAAGATCTTTCCTCTTAGGCATCAATCAAATATACTATATATTTAAGTATTTGCCCAAAGGTATATTTAAATATATAATTTAAAAGATTTCTGAATCCATTAATTTTCTCTCAAAGCTTAATTGAATAGCATGTATTAGAGTTTGCAGTGTTCAAATTTAGTTTTTCCGTCGAGTATTATTATTGATAATATTCAATGGGCTGAGCTTCAATGAATGGTCTGAGGATATCCATTTTCGATTAGGTGCACTGAATTTGGATATACTCTAATTACTGATGAAGCGCCCTAAACCATTACTGATGAGAGCTTTGAAGTAGAGGTAACTCTTCGTAGGGTATGTGAGTGATAAAATAGGTTGTACTTGAATTTTATGAAATTAATTATGGCGGATAACATTAAGGCTACTAAGCAGAAAAATTCCTAAATAAAAAAAATCAAGGAACTATCTCCATTTAAAGTTACGGAAAAAAGTCTACTGTGGAAAGTTTCATGATCGAACTCACCACTATAAAAGTTCAACTAATTCCGTTCCATTCATGGTATCGTGTCTAACATGTTCAACATATAAGCTAAACTTGCAAACATGAGAATGAATGTGATAGACTCATTTATGGTTTTATTCATCATGAACTCGCTACCTGTTGAGTTTGGCCAATTCTAGGTGAACTATAACACCATTAAAGATAAATGAGATTATAAGGAAATTAAGGCTATGCTGGTGCAGGAAGAGGTGAGAATAAAAGAGATGAAACAAGAGTCGATTCACTTTATATCTCATGTGAGAGCCAATAATAGTGAGATAAAATGGGAAACAAAGACAAATAAAAGGAGATTGGCTTACTCAAATTTTTTGCAGGTCCAATCATTAAAGAAATGAGGTGTTATTCTTGTAAAAAGTTAGGTCACCTCATAAAAGATTGTCCAAAATAAAATCTTGATTTGAAAAGAAAGACATACATTAAATTTTCGTATGTTTTGAATCAAATTTATTAAAGATTCCCAATGATACTTGGTGGCTTGGTTATGTGCAACTACTTATGTATCTCATATTCAATTTTTGGGTTAAACGTAGTGCACATAATCAATACTATACTTTCTTATGGCATTAAAGATTATGGTCACATATCTGAAGAAAGTTTTGAGAATGATAAATAATGAAACCATTTCTCATTTAGATTTTAGTGATCAAGATGTATGTGTAGGATGAATTAAAGAAAAACAAACTAGACATACATTAAAGAGATTTGCCAAGAGAAGCCCTAAAACTTCTAACTTATTTACACTAATATTTGTGGTCTATTCGACACTCCTTCATGGGGTGATGTAAGTATTTAATCACCATTATAAATGATTTCTCACGTTATGGTTATATTTATCTACTACATGAAATGACTCAATCATTGGACTATCCAAAGAAATACAATGATGAGATGGAAAGGTAGTTAGATAAATAAGTAAAAGTTGTGAGATCTCCCAAGATTGGTGAATATTATTGTAAGTTCAATGAAAGTGGATAATGTCTTAGTCCATTTGAAAAGTTTCTTGAGATTTGAAATATTTGTGTGCATTATACTATAATTGTGACTCCTCAACATAATGATGTTGCTGAGAGGATAAACCGTACTTAATAGAATATGGTTAGGAGTATGTTCAGTAATTCAACATTAACGTTTTCCATGTGGATGCATGTGTTAAAGATTGCTGCATATTGGATAAATTGGGTTTCTATTAAAGTAGTTCCTAAAATGCCTTATGAACTATGGAAGGGTAGGAAGCCTAGTTTGAAGCATCTTCATATTTGGAGGTGTCAAGTAGAAGTAAAAGTACATAATCCACATGAAAAGAAACTTAATCCTAGGACAACCAGTGGTTATTCATTGGCTATCCGGAAAGTTCTAAAGGATATAAGTTTTATGGCCCTAACTATAGTACGAGAATAGTTGATTACGAAAATGCTCGATTTATTGAAAATTATCAAATCAGTGGGAGTTCGGAACCGCAA